CAGGAACACATGGCACAGAGCAAGAGCTCAGCAGACATCTGGGACTGAAGGAAGCTGAAAGAACCAGCTGATGGCTGGATGGACATGACGAAGGATGGCTTGAGTGGTGGGTCACAATGGGGGCAGCACCCTGCCTCCCTGGACAGCCTCAGGCAGAGACCCCAAGACCAGACTTCAGTCTAAACTTTTTTCCAGCTGGAACCTTAAGTAAATTACTTCAGCATTCTGGGCCTCAGTTTACATGTCTGCAAAATGGAGACAGCCACAGTAACCTCACTGTGACACAGAGGCTTTTACAAGAAGTGAATGAGCACATGCTTTGAAGTGCTTGGCACAATGTCTCACCCATAAAATACACTCAATAAATTTCAACTGTTATTATTATGGACACAGGTCTGAGCCTAGTCTGGGGCTCCCCCTTTCCACTTTGGGGAACAGGGCCATGGAACTAAGCTCAGAACTCATTACAGAGAGCAGAGATTCAACAGGAATTCAGGACAGAGTCCTCTTTGTCCACATTCCTTCCTTCCTTCGACAAGTATTTTTTGACCATCTACTTGTGCCAGGCACTGGGGATTCTGCGTGGAACAAGACAAAGTCCCTGCCCTTATGGAACCTACATTCCGGTGTAGAAAGTCAGGGAAAAAATAGAAAGAAAACAAATATATAATACCAGATAGTGAACACTCTATAAATTAAAATAACAGGGTTGTGTAATGGGGAGGGACTGGGTGGTCCGAGAAGGCTTTTCTGAGGAGGTGGATTTAAGCTGAAACCCAAATGAGGAGGAGGCATCTGGGAGAAGAGCAGTCCAGGCAGGGGTGAGCAATTTGAGGAGCAGAAAGGAAGCTGGGGAGGCTGCAGGGGCATGAGCAAGGAGTGGGATACAGGAGATGGAGTCTGAGAGCTGGGCAGGCGTGGAGCCCTGGGGACTCCTGGCTACTCTAGGAGGTTTGGATTTTATTCTAAGTTTGATGGGAAACCGGCATAGGGTTTTAAGCAGGGCAGTGACACACGATCTTATGTTTTGAAAAGATTGTCCTGGCTGTTGGGTGAAGAATGGTCTGGGAAGCAGAAGAATCTACAAAAAATTCCTGGAGCCATACGTGTATACTCTAATTTCCCCTTTTGTTAGTTGCATATGGCCTAGAAAAGCTGTACGGGAGTCAATGATAAAAATATAGGCCAAGGGGCCGGCCCGTGGCTCACTCGGTAGAGTGCGGTGCTGATAACACCAAGGCCCCGGGTTCGGATCCCATATAGGGATGACCGGTTCGCTCACTGGCTGAGCGTGGTGCTGACAACACCAGGTCAAGGGTTAGGATCCCCTTGTCGGTCATCTTTAAAAAAAAAAAAATATATATATATATATAGGCCAAGTAGAATCTAAGGGTGTGAACACGAATGGATTACCAAACAAAGGACCGTCAGAAATCTCTGATAAAAAGAAAGACTGAAGCGATTTTCCCAGAGGATCTCACTGTTTTAAAAATGGACCTGATAATATGAAGCACCTTCGCAGATGTCTTTGACCATTTGCTCTGAGACCAGAATTCAGGATAGACAGTAAAGATAGTTACCTGATACTAATTCGGAAATACATGGTAGTTGTATTTAAAATGTATTTAGTTATATTCAATGACCTCATTCCTGTAGTTAGTGAAAAGTTCCTTTTTCACTAATGTAGCTTTCATTTCTATTATTGCAGTTTTAATAATATGAATAAATAGGGCTGGCCTGTGGCTCACTTGGGAGAGTGTGGTGCTGATAACACCAAGGCTGCAGGTTCGGATCCCATATAGGGATGGCCGGTTCGCTCACTGGGAGAGTGTGGTGCTGACAACACCAAGTCAAGGGTTAAGATCCCCTTACCGGTCATCTTTAAAAAAAAAAAAATTATAATATGAATAAGTAGAAGGTTTGTGCCAGTACACACTCTGTTACTAAATCTGTACTTAAAAATCCTTGTGCCTCTAGCATTTGTTCACAGGAATATGAGCGCTGTTTGCTATAATTTCTTTAGGCTCTTCTAATTGGAGTGGAGTACAATTTTACTGTGAGACTGTCGTGTAAAGGTGCTGCAAAGGGTAGAGTTTTGGGAGATGATAATGATGTGAAATATGAAGATGTAATTATGATCCAACCCAATGGAGCAGCTTACCCATGAGAGTAGTAATTGCTATTTATTGCTCTGAGGAAGACAGAAAGACAGGGAAACAGGGGAAATTTCTTTGAAAAATGAAACATCTTTTACATAAATGTCTAATGCATATTATAAAGTTCGAATCCTTGTTGCATTCCTTCTACTGCTGCAAATATATTAAATCTTCAGTTAAAAAAAAAGGAATGACTCAGTTTTTGGCTAGCACACGAGGGTGATGGTGAAGCATTTTTTGATGAGTAAGACCGTGGGAAGAGCCAAGTGGAGAAGACGGGCAGTCAAGTTTTGATTTGGATACGTGTATGCTGCTTTCAAAGAAAATATTCAAGTGGAGGAGGTGTCCCAGTGTTAGTTGGATAAGACGAATTTAGAGGTTAGGGCTGGGGTTACAGATGGGTCACTTGTTAACAGAGATGCTTTTTAAAGCGTGAGGACAGCACAAGATCACGGGGGGGGGGAGGGGCAGGAGGGACCCTGGAAAACTTCAACTTCAGAGTCAGATGGAGGAGGCAGGAAATATGGGAGGAAAACCAGGAGAAGGTGTCACCAGAGCCAAGAGAAGATAGCATGGCAAACCAGCTGTGACAAATGCTGAGACGAGGAAGGCGAGACTGGGCTAGGGGTTTGGTAACATGTAAACTGATGAGGATTTGAGTTGTGGAGATGGGAACTGTCTAAGGAGAGAAAGTGCATGTGCAGGACTGGCTGGTTAGCTCAGTAGCTTAGAGTATGTCAAGGGTTCAGATCCCCCGTACCAGCCAGCCGCAAAAAAAAAAAAAAAAAAAAAAAAAAAAGTGTTTGTGTTGTGACAGAGAGAACAGAGGAAAAAGGCAATACCTGGAGGGAATGTGAGATTCAAGGAGGGCTGTTGTTTGTTTAAGATGAGAGATATGGGAGTGATCAGGTGGGGAGGGAAAAATTGATCATCCAGGAGAAACAGAGGATAATTGCAGGAGCAAAGTCCTTGAGAGGGGCTGGTGTTTCATAGATAACTGGGGACAATTCATCAAGTTAAGATGGGGCAGGCAGCAAGGCCAGATGTAGTAGAGGGAAGACAGGGCTCCTAACATATCACATTGCCACCAAGAGACATGGCTTCTAGTGCTGATTCAGGTTTTTCTGTGTGACCTAGGGCAAGTTACTGAATCTTTCTGGGCTGTGCTTCCCTGGGAGGTGGGAGGGAGTGGAAATCACTGTCCCTGTCTGGTTCCCTCTGGGGCTAATGCACTTGTCCCAGTCTGTCTAAAAACCCATCTGATAGGTCCCCAGCGCAGAGATGCCATTGGCTTTGGCCTGAGATGAAGGTCATCTCAGAAGTCAGCCAGGCCTTGTCACTCACCAGGGGCTGTGCCACTACCGCCCCAATCTCTTACCCCTTTGGACACCATGAACAGAAAAGCCTGCCTCAGTTTCCCTATCAGTGACAAAAGGAAAAAAATGGCCCAATAGGCAGCTCTGGGTTGTGGGGTGGGGCCAGGGTCATGGTTCTGTTTCAGTCTTGATGGGGCAGTGGGGTGGAGAGAAGCCAGCTTTGGAGCCAGACCACACCGCCAACTCTGCCACTGCCCACCTGTGTGATTTGCACATTTACTGGAAGCTTTAGCTTCAAGTCCGCCCTCCTGGACCCACTCTTCCCAAAGCTCTGAGCTAATTTTAGATTCATGATTTTGTGGGGTTTTTCCTTAAATAACACAAAAGGGAGTTCCCAAAGTGTGTAATATCCAAGCTCCGTGAAACCAGGACCTGCCCTGGGACTTTGAGTAAATGACTGAACCTCACTTTCCCCATCTGTGAAATGGGACAGTCAGACCTGCCTCATAAGATAGGGAAAGGGTCACTGGGTGCACAGTACAGGGCATGCAGTGAGGCTCAAAGAAGTGAGGGATGAGGGATGACTTCTGCTGGGGCAGGGGAGGAGGCAGTGACACCTGGCTGTGCCCAGCTTCCCCTCCATCCAGAAACAGTTTTTTGTTTTTGTTTTTTGCTTTTTTTCAGCAGCTGGGTGAGGGGATCCGAACCCTTGACCTTGGTGTTATAACACTGCACTGTAACCAACTGAGCTAATTGGCCAGCAACCCCCTTTCCGCCTCCTTTTTTTCCAGGCATAGTTTTGGTGCTGTCCACTGGCAGGGGTTGCCTCTTCCAATTCCAACCCCTCCTCCTCAGCAGACTTAGTCCTCGAGATTACAGGTGAATTTCTCTTTCTGTTTACATTCTTAAAGGCACAAACTGCCTGAAGCCAGCTGTCTCTTATTGTCCTTCCCATCCCTCTCCAAACTCTGATCTCTGCCCTCTCCTCCCCTTTTCCCACCCAGCCCCTCTCATCCCCCCACTGAGCCCAGTCCAGGGCTGAGTGTACACATAATAGGCAGACCTGCTCCGTCTGCCCCCTCCCTTCGGCACCTCCTTTACAAAACCGGCTTCTGGTTTCACAAGGCACCTAAGCAATTCACATTAGGCTCCTACTACTTGGTGCCAAGCAAAGCACCCCCCCCCCTGCTTTTTTTTAAAGATGACCGGTAAGAGGATCTTAACCCTTGACTTGGTGTTGTCAGCACCACGCTCACCCCGTGAGCCAACCGGCCATCCCTATATAGGATCCGAACCCGTGGCCTTGGTGTTATCAGCACCACACAGCCACGGGCCGGCCCCAAGCAAAGCACCCTTTAACTTCTTAACCCTCATCCCTCAGATGACCAGGAAGTTAAAACCTCTTTTCCAGGGGAGGAGGGAGTAGGAGGTTATGCCGGGTCCTAAGGATGCCCAATCCTGGCCCAGACAGTCCCTCCTTTGCCCCCCTCCCCAGGGATTATCTGAGCCCAGAACCCCAAGCCCTTACCTTGGTGGGGACAAGAATGGGCAGAGGCAGCAGAAGAATGGGCAGGCTGACCACAAGCAGGTAAGAGCGATAGGCCCACAGGCCCTGCCAGTAGGTGGCCATGGTGTGGACTCACTAGGGCTCCCAGAGCCACCGCCTCTGGAGCCAGGGAATTGAAGGACCAAAGACACAGCCGGTAGGTGGCCTGGGGCTGGCTTATATAAAGCCAGTTGAGTGTTAACCATTGACCCACCCTGGCAATCAAAGTGTTTTTGGAATCTGGAGATTAAGGAGGAGGGACCTGCTGGAGGAGTAAAGATCAGGAAGACTTTGCAAAGAAAGGGAGGGGAAAAGATCAAGAAATAAAAGCTTCAGTTTCCTTCAAGTTCAGCCCAGATTTAACTCCTTCTATTTGTGGAGGCTGCTAAGGGCTGCTGCTGGAGGAACAGGAGAAGGAAGGCTGCTTGGAGACTCCCACAGCTGGGGGGCAAGACCCCAAACCCTTCTCCCTAGCCAGGTCTTTCCTCTCTCCTTTTATTCCCCAAAAGCCAGGTTCTCAGCTGAGCAGTTTATACAGGGCCCTGGATGGGAGATTCCACTCTAAGATGAACCTGGGCAGCCAAAGCCTGGTGCAAGCCCTCAACTGTCAAAGCCACCGGTCCTGATTATTTCTTCTTATTTGCTTTGTGGCACTGATCCACTGACTCACCCTCTCAGAATAGTCACTTCCTCATTCTGCAGTAATATCTTCCTATTGCAAGGCTCAAATTAAACAACTTGTGTATGTCAAGCGTTGATGTGTGGTAGCTGTATAATAAAGGTTTATTTCTTTCAGGCTCTTCCTGGCCTCTCCACCCCCTACCCCCACTGCCCTGGAAGACTAGCAAAGATCGTCTCATATTTTGGAAACACACTCACTCTCTGCATTTATCCATCCATTCACCAAATGAGTATGTGGCACCAATTTGTACTCGGCCCTGTGCTCAGTGCTAAGGATACAGAGATCAAAGGGCCGCTGCTGCTGGTGATAAGAGCTAACAGTTGTTAGCATTTAGTCCAAGCTGGTAAGTGTACTGCTTCATCGACTCTGTACAACTACATCATGACTTTGGTGTTACTGTTCAGACAGGGAAGCTGGGGCCCAAGGACACAGAGCCAGCCAGACTTCAGACATGCTTAGTGAGTACCTTGAGGGAGATCCAAACCAGCGCAGGAGCTCTGGTGAAAGGAGAGCACTAGGGGTGCCAAGCAAGGACCACTGGAGGAGACGGTTTCCCAGCTAAGACTTGAGAGTTGAGTCCATATGGCCACGAAGTGACCAGGGAAGGAGCTCAAGCAAAGGGAAGGGTGAACTAAGACTGGAGGGTGGCGTGAGCACACACGTGTGTGTTGCTGAGGGCAGGTTGTGGTTTGGAGGAAATCGCAGGTCGTCTCTTGGTACCTTCGCTCCTCCTCACCCCTCACTGCACAGCAGGAGCTCAATCCGTGTTTCTGGTAATTACCAGAGTGTGATGATCTGTGTGTGGCAGGGTAAGAAGGCAGGGAGGCAGGGTGGCAGGGAGGCTGTTTTGGGCAATGAGCTCAGTCTGGGCAAAGATGCAGAAGTGTGGTGAGGTTTAAAGAACAGAAGGTTCTGTGTGGTTGGAACATGGGTTTGTGTGGGTCAGGATTGGGAGATAATAACCACATTTCCAGGATGTACAATGGCGTGCCCTGGGCTGTTATGGCACCGAGACAGGGATCAAACCCTGGACCTTGGTGTTAGTTAGCACCATGCTCTAACCAACTGAGCTAACCAGCCAGCCCTGACTTAACCATTATTATGTGCACAGCTCAGTACTGTTAAATATATTCACACTGTGTACAACCAACTCCAGAACTTTTTCATCTCGCAGGCCGGCCTGTGGCTCACTCGGTAGAGTGCGGTGCTGATAACACCAAGGCCCCGGGTTCAGATCCTATATAGGGATGGCCGGTTTGCTCACTGGCTGAGCGTGGTGCTGACAACTCCAAGCCAAGGGTTGAGATCCCCTTACCGGTCATCTTTTTAAAAAAAAAGAAAAGAAAAGAAAATC